ATCCAATGTCGCTGGAACTTCTATGATGCGCCCTTCGAATACGCCTGTGATAAGTAATCCACTATTTGTGTCAATTGCCCCGACTAACAGCATCCTGCAGCCAACGATGGTGCCCAAATCCAATAGCGATACTCCGCCCAAAGTTTGGCGTGATCAGAGTTACACTCTTGAAGAGGACATTAAAATTTCAAGCTCTCATCCCCACATTCATCAATATAGTTCCCCTGTAGAAATTGAGAAGATGGTCAAGAATGAGGAACATGAAGAAATGACTAAGAAAATGAAGAGTTTGGAACAGAGTATAAGAGATATGAAAGGACTAGGAGGCCACAAAGGCATCTTATTCAGTGACTTGTGTATGTTTCCTCATGTCCACTTGCGTGCTGGTTTTAAATATCCAAAGGTTGAAAAATATGATGGTCACGGAGACCCCATAGTTCATCTAAAGAGATATTGCAACCAATTGAGGGGTGCAGAGGGCAAAGAAGAGTTACTTATGGCCTATTTTGGGGAAAGCTTAATAGGGATTGCATCTGAATGGTTCATAGATCAGGATATCACCAACTGGCACAAATGGGATGATTTGGCTCAATGTTTTGTACAACAATTTCAATATAATATTGACATTGTTCCAAATCGCTCCTCGTTAGCCAACATGAGGAAAAAGACCACGGAAAATTTTCGTGAATATGCTATCAGATTGAGGGAACAAGCTGCTAGGGTTAAACCATCGATGAAGGAGTCAGAGATGATTGACATTTTTCTCCAGGCGCAAGCACCTGATTACTTTCACTATCTACTTTCTGCCGTAGGGAATACATTCACTGAAGTTATTAAGGTAGGGGAAATGGTGGAAAATGGCATAAAGTCTAGAAAGATTGTAAGTCAAGCTGCCTTAAAAGACACAACACAAGTGCTTCATAATGGTTCTGGAAATACTGGAGGGAAGAAGAGAAGGGAGGATGTGGCCGCTATTGTATCAGCGCCTAGGACTCATGTCCAAGGTAATTCCTCACAACACTATTTTCCTTCCCAAGCTCCGCAATATTTTGTCCCATACACTCCATATCATGTTTTTAATGCACAGCCAATTGCACCCCCTTCTTATCTACAATGGCGTGCACCAACTCCACAAAATCATCCACCACCCCCACAAGTTCATCAAAATACTGCTAGAATTCCTTTTCGTCCTAGACCACAATACAAAAAAGAAAATGGAGTTAAAGATGACTTCACTCCTATTGGAGAGTCGTATGCTTGCTTGTTCCAAAAATTAAGGAGGTTGAATGTTTTGATTCCTATTGAGAGAAAGATGTCGAATCCTCCCCCGAGAAATTTGGATTATTCTCACCATTGCACATATTGTTATAATTCCCCAGGGAACAACATAGAGAGATGTTGGTATTTGAAAAGGGCCATTCAGGATTTGATCAACTCTAATCGAATTATAGTTGAAAGTCCGAGTGGACCCAACATCAATCAAAATCCATTGCCGAGGCATACTGCAATAAACATGCTAGAAATGATGAAGGGTCATGAAGAGTTTGCATCTCCGTATAAGACAATCCTTAGTGTTGGACCTGGCATTGAAGAAGTCAGCAAATGTTGTTGATTTAACAAAAATGATGCCTTTAGGGGCGGAAAGTGTGTTAGAAAATTTGAGTCCATCAAACACACCTATCTTAACTGTGAAAGGAGCCCTTAAAGTTGTTTGGGACAGTTTGAGTTAGGCAAAATCGTTTGTTCCAAAAAGTCCAAACGAACCTATCTTGATCGTGCAAGGGGTCCATATTCCTCCTGTGATTATCAGGCCAGCATCCCAGCTCCCAATGACTAACCCCAAAGCTGTTCCCTGGAATTATGAACCTACTGTCGTGACATACAAGGGAAAAGAAGTTGCAGAAGAAATAGATGAAGTGGGAGGAATACCCTGTTCAGGAAGATGTTATGTCTCGATAGAATTAAGGAAAACTTAAAATGAGCAAATACAAATAAAGAGCCTGGTCACTGAAGGAGAGGTAGAGGAATTCCTAAGGAAAATGAAACTATCAGACTACTCCGTGGTGGAACAGTTAAGAAAAACTCCAGCCCAAATATCTTTGTTGTCTTTGCTAATACATTCTGACGAACATCGTAAGGCTGTAATGAAAATTTTGAATGAAGCACATGTTCCTAGTAAAGTTATAGTGAGTCAGTTAGAGAAGATTGCTGGGAGAATTTTTGAGGTAAACAGCATCACCTTTTCAGATGATGAACTACCCAAATAAGGTACAAGACATAACCAAGGCCTACATATCACTGTAAAATGTGAGTTTTCATATGTCACTTGATTTCTAATTGATGGAGGATCTGGAGCAAATATTTGTCCTTTATCAACTCTACAGAAATTGAATGTTAGTGCTGAAAGGGTCCGACCTAACAATGTATGTGTTAGAGCTTTTAATGGGTCAAAAAACAGATGTTATTGGTGAGATAGAGCTCGTACTAACCATAGGTCCTGTGGATTTTGCTGTGAATTTTCAAGTGTTGGATATCAACGCGTCCTACAATCTATTGTTGGGGAGGCCATGGGTGCATAGGGCTGGAGTAGTCCCCTCAACGTTGCATCGAATGATTAAGTTTGAATACGACCGACAAGAGGTAATTGTTCATGGTGAGGGGGATTTTTCAATCTACAAAGACTCTTCCTTCCCTTTTATCAAGGCGGATAATGAGAATGAGGCACTAGTTTATCATATTTCTGAGGTAGTGGTTATTGAGTATGTCCCCGAGGGGAGTGTCATTTCAAAACACAATATTCCCATCGCGTCTGTAATGGTGGTGAATGAATTGCTGAAACATGGGTTTGAGCCGGGTAAAAGCTTAGAAATCTGCTTGTAAGGAAGAGCTTATCTCGTGAGTCTATGAAAGAGCACCCGTACTTTTGGCTTAGGCTACCAACCTAGAGTCGAGGACAAAATGAAGGAAAAGAAGCAGAAGAGAGATGTATGGTCACATACCAAGCCTATACAACCAATCTACAAATCCTTCATCAAAGCCCGCGCAATAGAATCTTATCAAACCTCTTTTTTTCCATAGCCAGTGATGAAAGCTAGCGAAGAAATCATCAACTATTTTCAAGATTTATTTGTCGAGGTTGATATGGTGGAACTCGGAGAAGGCACTAGCGATAGAGATGTGCAATTCATTGGTCCTGATGTCAATCTAAACAATTGGGAGGCCACCCCTCTCCCTGTTAAAGACGAGTCTTGGTAGTTTGTCTTTTTTTTTCTTTTGTCGTCCAATTAATTCAAGATTGTAATTCGGATTTTATCTTGTCATTTTATTTCAAAAATTCTATTCCCCTTTTCAATAGGATGTAATTGCATCTTTATTTCAGTCTAATATATTTGTTCGTTTTCCTTTATACAATTCTTTTTATGCTAATTCTAGTGATATGACTTTCATGCTGAATTTTTCGCCAGATCTTGATATCCAATCTAATCTTCGACCTAATATTGAAATAATAAGTCAAGAAATCGAATATGATGAAGACAGAGTATTTGAAGAAGTAAGGATGGATTCCAATCATTTTGAAAATAATTCAAATCCAAACATGAGTGAAACTAAGACGATAAACATGGGGGATCAGGAAATTATTAAAGAGACTAAGATAAGTGTACATGTTCGCCATCAAAAGAACGATATAATCAAGCCCTGTTTGATTACAAAGATGTTTTTGCGTCATCTTATGATGACATGCCTGGATTAAGCACGAACATGGTTGTTCATAAGTTGCCAATTGATCCTAATTTTCCTCCGATAAAGCAGAAGTTGAGAAAACTCAAAACCGACATGAGTGTGATAACTAAAGAGGAGATCACAAAACAACTTGAGGCCAAAGTCATTAGAGTCTCTCAATATCCTTCTTGGTTAGGCAATATTGTACCCATCCCTAAGAAAGACGGCAAAGTTCGAATGTGTGTTGATTATCATGATTTGAGTAAGGCAAGTCCAAAAGATGATTTTCCTTTGCCTAACATCCATATTTTATTGGATAATTGTGCTAAACATGAGGTTGCATCTTTTGTGCATTGTTATGCGGGCTACCATCAGATTATTATGGATGATGAAGATGCAGAAAAAACATCTTTTATCACTCCATGGGGTACATATTGTTATCGTGTTATTTCTTTTGGATTAAAAAATGCAGGGGCAACTTATATGAGAGCAATGACAACCATGTTTCACGATATGATGCATAGAGAAATTGAAGTTTATGTCGATGATGTTATCATTAAATCTAAAAAATAGTTAGATCATGTGAAAGACATAAGGAGATTCTTCGAAAGGCTCCGCGGGTATAATCTCAAGCTTAATCCTGCAAAATGTGTATTTGGAATACCATCGGGGAAGCTTTTGGGGTTTATAGTTAGTCGAAGAGGTATCGAGTTGGATCCTTCAAAATAAAAGCAATTCAAGAATTGCCACCTCCAAAGAACAAAACTGAGGTTATGAGCCTTCTAGGAAGGTTAAACTACATCACCAGATTCATTGCTCAACTCACAACAACTTGTGAGCCTATCTTTAAGTTGTTGAAAAAGAATGCCATAGTCGAGTGGACCGAAGAATATCGAGAAGCTTTTGAAAGAATTAAGAATTACCTGTCGAATCCCCCTGTGTTGGTTCCCCCCGAGCCGGGTGACCTTTGATATTGTATATGTCAGTACTGGATAATTCTTTTGGTGGTGTACTCGGTCAGCATGATGACACTGGGAAGAAAAAGCAGGCCATTTATTACCTCAGCAAGAAGTTTACCATTTACAAAGCAAAGTACACCCTTCTTGCTAACTTGGGTAGCACAGAAGTTGAAACATCATCTTTCATCTGATACTACTTATCTCATCTTTTGTATGGATTCGTTGAAATATATTTTTCAAAAGCCCATGCCTATAGGCAGGCTTGCGAAATGGAAAATATTGCTCACAGAGTTTAACATTATCTATATAACACGGATCGCAATGAAAGCTCAAGCATTGGCAAAGAACCCTATTGATCAAGAATATGAACCACTTAAAACCTATTTTCCAGATGAAGAGATATCTTGTATCGATGAAGTTATTCACGATAACGATCAAGGTTGGATGTTATTCTTTGATGGTGCCTCTAACAGGAAAGGAATTGGAATAGGAGCTGTTCTTATGTCTGAATCAGGGAAATATTACCCTTTATCAGGCCAACTTAGATTTCATTGTACTAATAATATGTCTGAGTACGAAGCGTGCATTTTTGGTCTGAGGTTAGCTGTTGACATGGGCATCCAAAAATTGTTAGTGTTAGGAGACTCAGACTTACTAATTCATCAAATTTAAGGAGAATGGAAAACTCGAGACCCAAAGCTCATACCATATCAACATTGTTTACAAGGTCTTTGTCAATGATTCATGTCAATAAAGTTTAGACACATTCCTAAAATGCACAATGAGATTGCATATGCATTGGCCACTTTATCTTCGATGCTCCAACACCCTGATGACACCCTTATTGACCCTTTATACATACAAATTCGTGATCAACATGCCTATTGCAACATGATCGAGGAGGAATTTGATGGTAAGACTTGGTTTCATGATATCAAAACTTATCTTCAGTCTAGAGAATGTGCGTCAGATGTAACTAGTAATCAAAAAAGGACTATTTGACGACTAGAAAGGGGTTTTGTCTTAAGCGGAGGCATACTGTACAAGCAGACACCCGATTTAGGTCTTCTAAGGTGTGTAAATGCTCAAGAAGCTTCCACAATCATTATTGAAGTACACTCAGGAGTTTGTGGACCCCATATGAATGGATATGTTCAAGCTAAAAAGATACTTTGAGCAGGATATCATTGGCTCACTATGGAGCGGGATTCCATACGATTTGTTTGTAAATGTCATGAATGTCAAATACATGGTAATTTGATACATTTTCCCCCTTCTGAGTTGCATGAAATGTCCGCTCCATGGCCTTTCGTAGCATGGGGAATGTATGTGATAGGACTGATAGAACCAAAAGCATCGAATGGTCACAGGTTCATCTTGGTGGCTATTGATTATTTTACAAAGTGGGTGGAAGCAGTAACTTTCAAGTCAGTGACGAAGAAGGTCGTGGTGGATTTCATCCATTTCAACATCATCTGTCGATTTGGTATTCCAAAGGTGATTATAACTGATAACGTCGCAAATCTCAACAGCCACTTAATCCAAGAGGTATGCTACCAATTTAAGATTGAGCATCGAAATTCGACTCCGTATCGCCCAAAGGACTATGGGGCTGTAGAAGCTTCTAAAAAAAATATGAAAAAGATACTTCGTAAGATGGTGCAAAGTTCTCGACAATGGCATGAAAAGTTGCCTTTTGCTTTGTTGGGTTATCGCACTATAGTTCGTACGTCAGTGGGCGCTACTCCATATTCACTGGTATACGGGACTGAGACAGTTATACCTATAGAGATTGAGATCTCATCTTTACGGATCGTTGTGGAGGCTGAAATTGATGATGATGAGTGGATCAAAACTCGGTTAGAGCAATTAGGTTTGATTGATGAAGCGTCTGACAGCAGTATGTCATGGACAATTATATCATAAAAAAATGGCACGGGCGTACAACAAAAAGGTGCGTCCCAAACATTTTGAAGAGGGTCAATTAGTGTTGAGACGTATTTTGCCACATCATGCTAAAACCAAAGCCAAATTTTCTCCAAATTGGAGAGGACCATTCGTTGTTAAAAGGGTATTACCAAATAGTGCTCTTTACTTAGCAGATATAGAAGGCAAAGTGACAGAAACAATCGTCAATGTTGATGTTGTGAAAAGATATTACATATGATTTGAGTTTCGACATTAGAAACCCTTATGTTTGGGCTCGACGTCTGATTCAATGGAATCTCTTGGTTATGTTGTTTCCTTGACATAAAAAAAACAATTGAAAAAAAACAAAACAAATTGCCTGAACACCGTTTGACCTGATTCTTGTTTCGGCAAGATACGTAGGCAGCCCTATTATTGGGTTCGGTTCAACCAAATACAGATCCAAAAATTCATATTGTAGTATACTGGGAAAAAGTCATTTGTTTATTCATACGGTCTCTCATCTCAAAGCTCAAAATCAACCCCATCATCTAAAGTAAAAAAAAAAAGTCTTTGCGTCAACCCTTTATATGTCGAAAATAAGTTGGTTAAGGGTAGGTAAAAATCCTGAATAGGCATCACAAGACAAATGTGAGTAAAAAGAAATAAAAATGAGAGAGTCTTATTGGTGAAAACCCTAAGTGGGCACCGTAAGGCGAAAAGGAGTTGAATATATGAGAGTCTTACTGGTGAAAATTCTGACATGCACCATAAGGCAAACGTTAGCTGGAGCAATTAACATGATTGAGTTTTAGCGGCAAAGACCTTCGTGAATATCACAAAGTCTATAGGGTTCAGATTATTTATGGCTTCATTTAGTGTTGGGATTCCACATCAAGATTGAATAATCAATAATGGTTGATGAATAGATTGGATAGCCAAGTCTGGAAATCAATTCAAATTGCATGGCATGATCAGTAGACTCGGCTCCCACACTCAGATAAGTTTTTCTTTCTTCTTCTTACAAAAGAAAGAGTCTTCATCGAATTTTTTCTTTTATTCTCATATAGTTCATAATTTTCTTATACTTTTTTTCGTCACTTTTTTGGTATGTATTTGAGTCGAGTCTTTGTCAAAAAAAACTAGGAAGGAATTTCAAGACTAGCTACCAAGTCTCTAAATGTTACTAGGCAAAGCATCAGGCTACTAAGTTAATCTGTCTTCAAGTGTTGAATTCGAAAATTCCCTGATCCTATGAAGTCTAAACAATGAGTGTTGTGAGATAAAGACATTGGATTTAGGTCCCAAAATAAGCAAATTTGGATGAAAGTACAATCAATCAATAAGAAGTATTGACCGTTGGAAACAACCAAAGCGTCATAAGTGTTTGAGCCGCCCTTGTCGAAAGATGGAACCACAAACCAACCACCACCTTTTCAAACACACGAATTTTCTTTGTTGAAGCAGGGACAAGTTGTTTCAAGATTGAGGATTCGAGGAACCTAGATGTTCAACCTAGTCTGCAGCGAGCGAAATGAAAACCCTACAATAAAGACTTGTGGAATATTATATGAAAGTTGGCTAATATATATCAAAATAGCAATTACTTGAATATTGGAATATTTATTTTATTTATTACTATTATTATTATTTTTCTGCAACGACCTGTTAGTCGTTTTGAGCAGTAAAGTTTATTTTCTGGTAATAGCTGTCTGAGTCGACGAATCTCACGACGGACCGTCATGGGCACGACAGACCGTCGAGGGTGTCTCGTTCCAAAAAACTTAGAATTCTGAAAAATTGGGTACTGAGAACAACCCTCTGAACTTCGCGACGACATGGCAGGACGGACCGTCGTGGGCACGACGGACCGTCACAGGACCTTTAGTGAAAAGTGAGTCTCTGAACCTTGTGACGGAAGCAGCAGGACGGACCGTCGCAGGCATGACGGGCCTTCACAGACTGCGTAACCCTGACTGGGTCGGATTTCTATTAAATGTTTTAAGGGGCGTTTTGGACTATTCCTGCTTATAATTATAAAGTTAGTGGTTGAATGTTAATAATTCAATTACTTGGGTGTTAAAGGAGATAACCTTGAATTAATTGGTGGGGTACTTTGGTCATCTTTTATACTTAATTATATGGAAATTAGGGTAAAATAAAAAGAGTTTGAATAAGGAAAAATCAGAAAAAGAGAAAGAGAGGGACGAACGAACGAGAGAGGAAGAAAGGAAGAAGAAAGCAAAGCATTGGAAAAGTAGATTTCTTGACTTCAATTCTTCGGTTGAGGTAGGTTATGGTTTATGCTATTCTTAGTAAACTCTTAATAGCGAATGATATGTATTGGGTAGTGTTGTAAACCCTTCTATATGCTTAATTGTATGCTTGCATGAATGTGATTATATAATTGTGATAAAATAAGCATCATGAAGCTATTTAATCCTAAATCTTGAAAACTCTAATCTACTTTGTTAATGATGATGCCTTGGTATAAAAGAAGGCTTGATGAACGAAAGTAGTGAGATTATGGGATTCGGTGTCACGTTCCGGCACCAGGATAGTATATGGATCGGGTGCCACGTTCCGATACCAGGATAGTATATGGATCGGAGTGCCACACTCTGTCACCAGTATAGAATATTGATCGGGTGTCACGTTCCGACACCAGGATAGTATATGGATCGGGTGCCACATTTCGGTACCAGGATAGTATATAGATAAGAGTGCCACGTTCCGGCACCAGGATAGAATATGGATCGGGTGTCACGTTCCGACACCAGAATAGTATGATGAGGATCGGAGTGTCACGTTCCGACACCAAGATAGTATGCAGCAGAGTGTCACGTACCGACACGAGAGAAATAAAGATAATGAATCTTGAAAGATGTTAATATACTCAATTTGATGAACCTAATTCCCAAATGAGTATGATGGGGAGGCGTGAGTCCTCATTGATGTTCTTGGTGTTGTGACCAAGGATTATGGTAATTGTAAATGCCGCATGTTGAGTATTGTAGTTGATTTTATGATATTATCTGATATATGTTGCTTTCTATTTTGAGTTGGCCGATGATATCTACTCAGTACTTGTGTTTTGTACTGACCCCTACTTGTATGTTTTCTTTTTGTTAATTGTGGAGTGCAGCAAACGTACCGTCGTCTTCAACTCAACCGCAACTCTAGCCAGTCTTCATCACGTCAGATTTCAGGGTGAGCTATTGCTTCTAGCTTGGATTGGATCTACTTCTTCACGTCTTGATGCCTTGAAGTTCTGGCATGGACTAGTTATTTAGTTATTTTAGCTTCTTAGATACTCTTAGATTTAGTAAGTTGAAGATAGATGTTCTTGTGATGATGACTTCCAGATTTTGGGGATAATGAAAAGATTTGAGATTTAGAAGTTGATTATTGATTTTGTTAATGAGTTTTAAGTCTTCCGTATTGTTTTCTATTTATTATATTTGAAATGTTGGGGATCATATTGGTTGGTTCGCTCACATAGTAGGATAAGTGTGGGTGCCACTCACGACACGTTTTGGGTCATGACAAACTTGGTATAAGAGCATTAGGTTCGGTTGTCTAATCACAGAAGAACGAGTCTAGTAGAGTCTTGAGGAACAGTAGGGGAACGCCTTTACTTTTCTTTAGGAGGCTATAAGACCTTAGGAAAACTCCTTTCTTTCATTCTTTTGTGCTATTACTCGGGTCCAATTGGTATCTAGGTGATACAAATTGGTATCTGACCATCTTCACTCTATTTCGCAGATGGTTAGAACTAGAGCAACAACTACGCCGAAACCAACACCGGCAAGACAAGATGCGTTTGAAACAGCCACTGAGGCTGTAGCTCGAAGAGGGGCAGTGACAAGAGGCCGTGGTAGAGGTCGCGAGAGGACGTCCTCTAGAAGAAGAGGACAAACACCTTGCCCATCTAGTACTAGGGTGGTGACTCCTCCACCGACTGAGGAAGTAGTAAGAGAGGGGGAGGAAGGGGAGAATGAGCAAGTACAAAATGAGGAATTACCACCCCAACCTACCTCAGAGACGATTAATCAAGTCCTTGCTTATCTTAGCGGGTTATCTGATCAGGGCCAGACACCTCCAGTGTTTTCTACACCAGCACCTCATGTTCCAGGAGTACAACATGCAGCTGTTGTGGCTCCCCGTATGGATGCCTCATTGGAAATAGGCACGTTTCCTCGGTTAACTACAAGGCCTATAATGACAAGTGATCAGCACAAACTTTTAAGTAACTTCTTGAAATTGAAACCTCCAGTCTTCAAGGGTGCTGAATCTGAGGATGCCTATGATTTTCTAGTTGACTGTCATGAGTTATTACATAAAATGGGCATAGTGGAACGATTTGGTGTTGAATTTGTAACCTATCAGTTTCAGGGAAATGCCAAAATGTGGTGGCGGTCACATGTTGAGTGTCAACCCGCACAGGCACCACCTATGACTTGGGCATCATTCTCTAGCTTATTTATGGAGAAGTATATCCCCCGGACCTTGACGGATAAGAGGAGAGATGATTTCTTGAGCCTAGAGCAAGGTAGGATGTCGGTTACTGCGTACGAGGCTATGTTTTGTGCACTATCCAGGTATGCCACCCAGCTTTGTTTCAGTTCACAAGAGCAGATTCGCCGTTTTGTGAAGGGGTTGAGGTCAGAGTTGTGGATTTCAGCCCTACAGGTAGCGGCTACAGCAAAATCCTTTCAGGAAGTGGTAGACTTCGTGGTAGAGGTGGAGGGAGTAAAGCCAGATGACTTCACCATGGCATCGACATCAAAAAGGTTTCGTAAGGGAGGTGAGTTTAATGGTTCTTAATCCAGAGGACAGGGTTCAGGAGGTTACCCAGTCCGACCAATTAAGTCCTCACTATAGGCTGTAGCTGGGGGTCCACTACAGACCGGTCAACATTTCTCTGAGTTTCGTAGTTATCCCTAGACTTCATCATTCTCACAGAGACCTATGCTTGAATCCACAGAGTGTTATGAATGTGGGGAGACTGGACACAT